GTCTCGATGTCCTTGGGTCTGAGGAAGCCAAGCAGGACAAATGACCACAGAAGGTGGTCAACAGATAGGCCGAGAGGGACAAGCAACCAAGGGGGCTGTCAAGAGATGGGCTGAGACAGACTGGCCGAGGTGGGATGGTCAAGGGATGGCTCAAGAGGAATGGTCGAGAGAGATGGACCAAGGGGAAGAACTGAGGGATGGGTCAAGGGGAAGGAATAAGCCAAGGGGGGGACAGTCCAGAGTTGAGTGGAGGGGGGACAGCCATGGTATGATCTGAGAGGGCAAGTCTGGGGTAACAGGGCTGAGGGGTATGCCCAATGGGACAGTTAAGAGATTTTGGGGGGGGGGCAGTGAAGGGGAATGGCTGAGAGACGGGCTGCGGGATGATTCAAGGAAATGGCCGAGGGGAACAACCAAGATCAAGGGACCATCTGAGGGGACAGGTGGAGGGAGATGGCCATGGTAGCGGCCGAATGGCACAGGGCTGAGGACGCTGGGCAGAGGGGAAGGGCCAAGAAGCCTGGCCGTGGTATGGGGACACAGGACAGGTCAAGAGGAAGGGTCGAGGGATCAGCTGTGGCAGCTCGGTTGTCTTTCCCCATCCCCGCTGCAGGTGCCATGCGCTACTTTGGCTCGGCCAAGGTCCGCTACGACTTCTGCGCCCGGGACCGGACGGAGCTGAACCTCAAGGAGGGCGACATCATCCGGATCCTGAGCAAGAAGGGACGCTCAGGCTGGTGGAAAGGGGAGATCTACGGGCGGGTAGGGGCTGGTGGGACCCTCCCTCTCCACCTGCATGGGCCCCCGGAGCACACGTGGGCCCTGGCGCACGTGTGTGGCCTCCCCTCGACCTGTCCCCGTGTCCTTTTTTGTTTTTCTCTGCTCTCCCAGGTCGGCTGGTTTCCTGCAAACTACGTGGAGGAGGATTATTCGGAGTATTGCTGACCACTCTGCATCACTCCCAGACCCTGTCCCGTGAGGACTAGCGGGGGGACCCCGGCGCTGTGTCCCCCCGCGAGGACGTCAGGAGCTGGACATGGCGCAGGGCACTCCGTCCCCCCACCCCGTCCCTTGTTAATTTATGATTCCCCCCCCCTTAAATCCTCCTCCTGCCTAGGAGGGGCAATAAATGGGGCAGAGGACGAGGAAAGAGGCTGCGGGTTGGTGTTTTCTGGCCGGGGGGGGGGGGGGGGGGAACCACCGCACGGCGC